GACCAACCAACCCAAAACAAGGCCCTAACCAGTTGAGGCTGGCCTTGAACTTGGATCCTATCGCCTCAGCCTTCTGAGTGCCACTGCACCTGACTTTAACTTATACTGTTTTACCTTCAGTTTTACAGGGATCATTGCCAACTTTTATAAGTTAAAACAGACTTGTCCCAATCTAAAATGTATGGTAGTTTTGTACTGTATTAGCCAGTATTCCAGGTTATAATTGGAAAACCAGTTCACCATGTTATCTTCTTACTCCTTTCCCTTCCTTTTCTGCACTTCCCAGCTGTGGCCCCACCACTTGGTGTTTATTGATGAATGAGTCCCTTGGAGAATCCAGGAGTCCTGGTGCCCATTCATTTGGTGGCCTCTCTGCTCCCCTCCCTACTCACCCCCAGCTCTGTTTCACTCGGTGCTGTTGTTAGGTACATACGACCGGTGTCTGTGCCTCTGCTGGGGCCCCATTTTCCTGATTCCTGAGCCCCATGATTGGCTGCTTTCTTCAGTTAGAGGAAGAGGAGGCTGGAAGGCTGAAGTTGGCTGCTGTTTGCGTTCTCAGCCGTGTGGTGTCTGGAAGCACAGCGTCTTCTCAGTGGATTTGTTACAAACTGTGTTTGCGTGCTGTGGTGATGAGGCTGGAGGCTGCGGCCCTCGGTGGGCCCAGTGCGATCGTAAAGAGAAGGACAGCATTTTAAGTGTGTTAAAGTTGCTGAATTTAGTAGGTGGCAGAGTTCCTCCCTGTTCTGCTGTGATGAATGAGAAGGAAGGTGTGGTGACAGACTGGAAGGCTTTTATGCACAATGGCAAACAAAGAAGCAGGGAGGCACCCTTGGGGAGCAGGGGATGTGAAACCAGGAGGGTGAATGGTAGCGAGTGCTGCTCCCCATTTGACCCATGTAGGCTGATGGGTTTTTTGTCTAGGTTAAAATATTGTCAGACTTCCTATTTCCTTTCTAATTATCATTCTTTAATATTAAAAAGATTTGAATATTCATTGATAATTTTGATCTTTTCAGGTATTTATATCATTCTGAAAACAGAACGGAAAGACTTAGTTATGTGCTAATTCCAACTCTTTCACTCATACTGTGTAAACTGCCTGTTGAAATCTATCATATGCCAGGCACTGTGCGCTACTCATTCTGGTTAATGTCATACCAGTGATTAGAGCATTAATTTGCAAATCATTCTTCGTGTTCACGAGTTACCAGAGTGTACCCATAAGTTTCTAGTAGCACTGTGCTGTGATAACACCAGGAAATAGACCGTGTTGGGGTGGGAGCTGTTGTAATTTGAAACTGAACAATATCATCAAAAATGAGAATCTTTCCCCTAAATGTCAGGCACTAATACTCTTGTTGACCAATTTCTTTTTACACTCTCTCAGCGTTTTCAGACTTCTGGAGGCTAATGTTGATCTCTGTGTCTGCCTTTAGAAATTCTTGAATCTTTTTGTCCTTCTGATTTTGGTACCAAAACCAATAATGGTTATTTGGCCGAGCTTGTGTCTTGCCATCGAGCACTACAGCTTTGAAGCAGTTCCTTCACCACCATCCCTTCCTCCCTCACCTCACCTGAACTTTAGTTTATATTTGCAGTTTGTTAGGGCGGAAGTCTTAGAGTTATGGGAGGAGTTGGTTGTCCTTGGATAAGGAACTTCAGTTATTCCTGAAATACTGTCTGCTTTACTCATCTTTTTGGAGATCGACTCAATCAGGGTGTCTCAGGAGTGGCACCAATGACATTTTGGATTGAATCATTCTTCATTTGTCAGGGGAAGGCTGTCCTTTGCATTGCAAAATTTAGCTACATTCAGGCCTTTACCCACTAGACCCAAACAGCTCACTCTCCATTGTGACAACCAAAAATGTCTGCAGACATTGCCAGATGTCCCCTGGTGGGTAGGGGTGGGCGACCACTCCTGTTAGAGAACCCCTGCTCGCCTAATTTTTTTTTCCTTTTTGCACCCTAGGGCCTCTTGCCTGCTAGGCAAGCCCTTTGCCCCTGAGCCACATCACCAGCCCTGCTCTCAATCCTTAAGACAACCTACTCTGACCACAGTTGTTGGCCAGCCAGCCACAAAAAAAAAGCTGCAGTACTTGACACATGTGTCTGTGATGCTTACAGCTTTCCTTTTCTCTGTTCTGATGGTTAAAATGCAGTTCCTGTACCTGCACATCTTGCTGTCAGTTCTGGTCCAGGGGAGGGGCACTGTGTTCCTAGCATCAATGGTGATTCCTTTCTTGCCTCTTGATTACCCAAGTGATGGATTTTAATAGACTTACTGAAAAGCTGGTGGTAAAATCCAGGCCATGTCTTGGCCACATTGCTCCTCCATCTCTGACTCCACCCTGGTCTTATAATAAGTAGGTTCTCTTGGTTTGGTTCATTTTGTAAACCAGTTAGATTATTTTGGATGTGTTCTAGGTATCAGAGTATGATCATTTTAGGTTTTTTTGTTTCTCCTTTTCACATTTTGGTTGTCTGTCTTATTTGGCTTATAAATAACTTCAGTTTTTGTGGACAGCATGGTGCCATGGTGGTGTAGCTAGTATGGTCCTCACTCCAAAGCCGTGCTTTTCCCTTCGCTCTAACACTTCTCAAAATTTAGTGTGCACAGCAGTCACAAGGCGTCTTGAGAAATGCAGATCCTGTCAGGGCTGCTCAGGGCCTGCCTTTCTACAGCCCCAGTGATGTCACTGCTGCTGGGCTGTGGATCCCATGGGTGCTCTGGCTCTGCTCTTTTGCCATCACTGATTCTGCTGTAGATGAGCCTCCTGGAGATTAACCCACAAAGCGGTCAGCTACATGTGAATGTGCAAGCTGTCTGTCAGCTACTCCATGAGGTGGGTCTTCCCTGGGAGACCTGGCTGTGAATGTCCACTGTTCCAGCTGAGGAGCAGTTCAGCCAACTGGCAGGATTGCAGTGTGGTGAGAAGCGGACGGTAGGTGTGTTGGGAATGAAGAGTCAGTGGTGAGGTGGGTGCGTCGGGGCCTGAGCCGCCGCTGTATTCCATCCTGTCTGAGGTGGACCTCATTTTTGTTTTAACATTTCTGAAATTGGGATGTGTCTTACAAAACTTGCCAAATGGTGCTCCCTGGGGAGTCAGCAGCTGCTGAGATGGGAACTTGGAGACTCCGCATTGGCTGCTCTCCTCCTGCCTCGGGCCGCAGCTGCATGGTTCTGTTTCTGAAGCCCAGTGCAGGCCCTCTGCCACAGATGGGGCGTTATATACGTGTGAAGTGCTTGTGGGCGAGGTGGATTTTGGTGTCTCTTGCTCGGCTCTGATGCCTGGTGTCTGTAGCAGCACACCTGTTGCAGATCTTTGCTGTGATTTGGGCAGAAGCACATGTGGGTTGAGGTAGAGTGACATTCCACGTGATGAGTTATTTTACATAACTGATGGTATGTACATTAAGAACGCGTTTGGATTGGGCTGGGGTTGTGGCTCAGCGGTAGAGCGTTTGTCTAGCATGTGCGAGGTCCTGGGTTCGGTCCTCAACACCACATAAAAATAAACAAATAAAGGTATTGTGTCCAACTACAACTAAAAAATAAAAAAGAACTCATTATTAAAAAAAAAAAAAGAATGCATTTGGATTGAAGAAGTTCATAAAGTTAGCCTCGGCTTAGCAGGGAAGGACTGGATTAGGGTGAGGAGTGAGAGGCCACTCCTGCAGCTGCTGGCTGTGTCTCGTCACTCTGGGTGTCAGTTTCTCCATGTTTAAAGAAACGTGGACCATGTGATCACCAAAGCCCTTCAGACTAAGTCTGCTAGAATGAATTAATTCCAGTACAAGTTCTCTGCTTCAAGAGCATAGACGTGACATTCTGACAAGTGGGGGTGTGACCAGAGGCATCTGCAGGCAGATGGGTCTCTGGGGGAGACTGTTTGTAGAGGGGAAGGAGTCGTGTTTTAAGCTGAGGCGAGCTTGCTGGTTTGGTCATGGAGTTCCATGTAAGCTCCAGCACTTCAGGTACAGTTGACATGCCAAGCCAGGTAGGAGCTATCCTCAGTACAAGGGAAGTGTCTGTTGACAGTAAGATGACCTTCCCGGCTTTCTAAAAAGACCATTCTCCATGAGATGCTCTTTGTTTTTTGAGAATGAAATGAAAGCTCCTCATCACTGGGACTAATTATCTGAAGATTCTGTAAAAATAAAGTGAGCTGTCTAAGTATGACTGCAGCCATTAATGATTGAGACTTAGGCGGCCAGGCGACTAACAAAGCTGCCAGCTGCACTGAAGGTGAACTGGGCTTATCTGGGGTCTGGTTCAATTAAACTTTTTTTTGGTTTTAATACCATTCTACCCTTTGAGGTACTGACCCTTGTTTTATGAAGCAAATGTTGCCTTGCATGTGTGGATCACCTTGCTTGGGTACTGGGTGATTGACTTGATGGACAGAGGACCTGGCTCTTTGCTCCACTCCGTCCAGCTTGAGAGGGAAGCTAGCTTTGGGCTGTGCGGTCAGCACTGGAGGCAGGCACTGCAGTGGGAAGTGGCTGATCTCAACAGGATAGGCTGTGCGTTTTTGTTTTTGTTTTTCCTGCTTTGTATTTCCCCCCAAAGCCTTAAAGTTGTGGGTCAGAAATGATGTAGACTTGAGGGATTTCAGAATTTGGTTTTAAGAATTTGTGGACAGGCTGGGGGTCTTGGGGCTGGGAACTGTACCCTCGGTTCCACGCGGCCACCTTGTGTTCTCTGGGAAGGATATTTTCAATTTCCTAGGTTGTGTTAACAGGAAGATCCTCAGCATCAGTTTGTTTCACAAGAAAATTGGTTAACAGTGAATAAAGTTTGAATGTGAAATCCTTGTATAGTTTTTGAATCGAAAGGCAGTTTTTATTCCTGAAAGGCATATGCTTGATTTTACATTCGGTAGGTAATCAGGCCAAATGACTCAGTAGACTTAGCTAGTCTTCTTGGACCTAAGGACAGTTTTGAATCTGCTTTGTAATGCGGCATTGATTTCTTGCATTTTTCTCCCTTGCTCCAGGTGGTTCGTACTGAGAAGAACAGTTTGAACAATCGATTCTTGCCCTGGAATGAGATTGAAACCGAGGCCATCCTGTCCATTGATGATGATGCTCACCTCCGCCACGATGAAATCATGTTTGGGTTTCGGTGAGGACTTTTTCAGTCAAGAACACTTGAGTGTGCAAGTGATAGAAAACAATAACTCAGGCCTGGATTAGGGAGCAAAATGGGAGAAAACAATAACTCAGGCCTGGATTAGGGAGCAAAATGGGTTTCTTGGTGACAGTGACAGAGAAGCCCGCAGAGGTAGAAAGGCTATGTCGGCCAGGGCTGTCCAGGACCCTGGTGTTGGAGGATTCTATTTCTTGTCCTCTCCTGCTCTGCTCTCACATAGGTTCTTCCCTGAGGCTAGGGAGGTGGGATTCATTGATTGGCTGGACCAGGGTTTCGCACCTGCTCCTGGAGCTGCAGGTATATCATCCTTGACCTCAAACCCTCTAGGCTTAGAGTAGAAGCAAAGTGTATTCTCTCAAAAATATTCAGAGCTTGGTGTCATCAAAGGCATGGGGACCAAATGCCAGGCAGGTAGAGGAGTGAGAGGCCAGCTCCTGCAGCTGCTGGCTATGTGTCGTCACTCTGGATGTCAGTTTCTCCATGTTTAAAGGAACATGTGGACCATGTGATCCCCAAGGGCCTTCAGGCTAAGTCTGCTAGAATGAGTGAATTCCAGTCATGAATTGTTCTTTGGTGTTGTGTATCTTTGTTCTTTTGTGTTGCTGTGCTTTGAAGCAGTACAGAATCCTGGGCCTGGGAAGAGCGGGTGGGACACAAAGATGCAGTAGGAAGATGGGGGAGGAGAAGAAGGTGGCGGGGATGATACTTGACATCTGCGGTGCCCATGTTGTGTGCCGGGGATTAGCTGAGCACTATGGTTTATCTCAGAATGCCTAGAATTTGATGGAAGTTATAGCCGTATCTTCTTACATAGGAGTAAATTGAGATTCCAGAGAACAGAGCCACGAAGCCAGAATGTTAGTGGCAGACAGAGCAGGGATTCCAGTGCAGGGTTGGCTAACTCCAGAAGTCGCTCAGCCACGGCCCTGTGCTGCTTTCTGGAATCTCAGTACACACTTTGCTGTAGAGCATAAGCATCCCGGTGGGAGAACGTTACAGGTAAGAGGAGAGGTGGGTTAGGGTGTTCGGTGTGGGTCGTAACTGGTATGTGGGCCTAGGGTCAGTGTGTTAACACATCCACAGGGAGGTGAGTACAAAAATGGAGGGTAGGCCTTTAGAAACTTTTAAAGCAGTTTGGCATTGTTGTGGCATCCAACTGTGTTATAATTTTTCTTGCAGTTTATTTTGGTGTTGTTTATTGAACATAATTTTTATATATTTTACTCACTTAATCTGTAATTCAGTGGTTTAGAGTGTAATTACCTCAGTTTTGGAAAATTTCATCACCACCAAAAGAAACCCTGTGCCCATTAGCAACCCTTCTAAGTTGTAGGCAGCCACTAAGCTTTGTGTCTCTATTATTTGCCTATTCTGGGGATTCATGTAAGTGAAACTATACAGTAAGTGGCCTTTTGTGACTGGCTCCTTTCGCTTAACCTCATGTTTCCAAGGTTTATCGGTCTAGTACATGTACCAGTGCTTCACGCCTTTGATAGGATAGACCACACTTTGTCTGTTCATCCATTGGTGGACATGGGGTATTTCCTACATCTTGGCTGTTCCCCATAATGCTGCTACACGCATCCATGTGCGAGTGTTCATATGAACATTTCATTTCTTTAGAGTCTATACCTAGGAGTGGAAGGACTGGATCACAGGGCAGCTGTTTTAACATTCTGAGAACCTGCCAAGCTGCTTTCCAGAGTGTTGTGTCATTTTACACTCTCATCATAGTGTGCAAGGATCCGCTTTTCCAGGTCCGTGTGCATGCTTGTTCTTTTCTGTTTGTTTATAGCCATCATAAGTTGGTATGAAGTGGTAGCTCATTTTAATTTCATTTAGTGACTAATGATGAGCGTCTTTTCTTGTGCTCAAGACCAGTTGGCCTTTTACGTATCTTCTTTGGAGAAATTTCTGTTTAGAACCTGTTCCACTTTTGTTGGCACTATTTGTCCTTTTACTATCAAGTCGTAAGTCTACATATTCTAGAAGCAAGTACCTTACCTGAGATGAGTTGCAAGTAGTTTTGCTCACTTGATGGTCTGTCTTTTCGCTTGCTTGATGCTAGCCCTTGAAGCACAAAGTTTTGCATTTTGCTGAAGTCCAGTTTAGCTTTGTTTTCTTTGTTCTTTGGTGTTGTATTTTAGAAAACACTCAGTTTATTTGTTAAAAGGAGGAGAGATTTTTCACATTTTTCAAGGTGCCAGTCTATGGTGACGTGGCTGAGCCTGTGGAGAGGCAGGACATCCTGGAGGGAGGGGTGCAGTGGAGCAAAGCTGCTCACCTCATGGCAGCCCAGAAGCAACAGGGGGCCCCTGCATTTCATTTATTGTTATAAGTTATTATATTTTACCAGAATATTAGTTCACAATACATGGGAAAAATTAGTTGGGTGCTTCAGATAGTTTGAGAAGCTCTGGAGTGGGCTTGCTTGGGGGTCTCCTGCAAATTAAGTTTGGATTGTGGACAAAGCTCTTTCTTTGCAGCTGTGCTTCCATTCTGTGTGCTGGAGGCCCCCCTCCCCCGCTCGCTCACCCTCGGGTGCACCCCCACCCCCCACTCGCTTACCCTCAGGTTTCTTGGCAGATGGAAGCAGCAGTTTATTGCTGTGTGTTTTACATCTGTTTATGAAGAACGACTCCACACATTAGAACATCCATTCTTTTCTCTCCTCAACAACCTCTCTCATTTCATTTGGCCTCTTACTAGATTATTGAAGCAAGTCTGTTGCTGGCTGTGACTTAAAAAAAATTTCTGCTAACTGGGTGTGTTCCTTTGTACACAAAAAATAAATAGCTGCTTGTCCACCTGTCTGTCTGAAAGACAAAAGCCACATAACCATTCCAGAAATGGCCTATTGCTATCCAGATGTTGTCCTAGGTGGTGGGGAGAGGGAGTGTATTTTTTACATGGCATGATGCAGTTTAGAGCCTTCTGAGGGCCTTGGGGCTGTGAACAGAGCCATGGATGTTAACAGGAGAATCGACTGTCACCCCTCCCTCCCAAGAATGATTTAGATAAGGAGACTCAGCTTTGATGAGTTTGAATTTTATTAAGAAACTGGTTGGCTGACTTCTGCAGCTTCTGATTTAGGAGAACTTTTGACCTTTTTCCATGCCATTTCTCAGCAGATTTCTAAGTGGTGAGAAAAATAACAGGAAGCCTTTTAATGATCTCTTAATAGTCATTTGAAATTTGAGGCTTAGCCTCAGGTAGTGGAACTGGTGAGTTGTGTTTGATGTTCCACCTGACCTCCTCCCGCCCTGATCTTTCCTCATCTCTTTGGGCATCCCTTGATCTAAAAGCTTTTCCTTATTCACCTCCTCAGTTTACTTTTTTCACCTGAGTGAGAATGAAACAGACTTAGATATGAAAGGAAAGGGACCATATAAGAACCCTTCCCTCTGGCAAAAGATGGGTCCTGACTTACTCAGATTTCTGCAGCCAGGGAGGAGGCAGATGGGGTGGGGGTGGGGAAGATGTCCACGGAGTGACCAGGGCAGCGTCTGCAGTTCTCTGACGTGTGTACGCAAAGGTGTGCTCTGTGATTCCACTTCAGTGAGGCACCCGGAACAGTCAGATCCATAGAGACTGGTAGAGTGGTGGGGGCCTGGGCCTGGGGAGGTCATAGTTAGGGAGTGGTACTGGGGAGTTAGTGTTTAACGGGACAAAGTTTCATTTGGGGAAACTGAAAGTTCCGGAGGTAGGTGGTGGTGATGGTTGCACAACAGTGCAGATATCTTTAGTGCCACTGAACTGCACATCCTTAAAAAGACAAACTTTCTGTGTGTATATTTTGTCATAATCAAGAAATTATCAGTTGTCTAGGGGCTGGGTTGTGGCTCAGAGCTGTAGAGGGCTTGCCTGGCATGCATGAGGCACTGAGTTCAATCCTCAGCACCACATAAAGTAAGATAAAAACATTGTGTCCACCTGTAACTAAATTTCTTTTTTTTTTTAATTTATTTTTTCAGTTGTCTAAAAATACCTACACATGAAGGTATTGGGATAGAAGTTGTGATTTGTCATCTGTTGGACTAGATTAGTTGCCCTCAACCTTATTGGGAGAGGAGCTCTTTGGAAGTGGAATCTTTTGGTTCAGGAATCAGATTCTTGTCAGGGGCAGGGGTGTTTCTCAGGCAGCTTGAATCTCTTAAAGACCTTCTAGGTCCTGTTGGGTTTGGTGGAGCTGATGTCTTTCACTCTCTTGATTTCAGCTTGTGAATCTTGGGACTGGTTTTATTTATTCTACTTTGCCTATAAATTTGGAAATGATACAAAAATTTCTCTTGAAACTTATCAAACATACTGAAACAGTGAATTCTCAATTTATTTCTCGGATGTAATGGAACCTTTCATTTACATGGGTCTGCAAAGCACTTCTCACTGTTCAGGTTTCGCTCAGCCCCGTTCAGTTTAGGAATCAGACTGAGCATTGGAGTCTCTTGGGTCAGACCAGTGGCCTCCACACATTCTCCATGACATTCCCCATGACGTGCCCTCTGAGAGAAAGAAGAGAATACGCACACATAGACAACAGAGCGTGTGCCCTGCTGAGCTCGGGAATGGTGCTCGTTAAAAGGAAGCCTTTTAAAAGAAATTAAATTAAATTAAAATAAATAAATATGGATCTCTTCTTTCTGCTGCTTAGTAGATTGCTGTACATACCACATCCCGGAGACCCACTCCCACTCAGCACTGGAGAAATGCTGGCTGCCAGAAACTAGTGGCATAATAAGCAGTGCTTATTAAGGAGGCAGCACACGGTGTGGTTCATATCCTCTTATTCTGTGTGGCTTGTGATTTATTAACACACACACACACACACACACACACACACACACACACACACAGCCTGAGGGGTCAGAGAGCCTTCAAGGCAAAGGCACTCCTTTTAAGTGCTCCTGATGGCCCCAGAGCTGTGTACTCAGGTGTGTGTGCACTTGTGTTTTTGAGGGTGTGGAGAGAAGCACGGGACCGCATCGTGGGCTTCCCTGGCCGGTACCATGCGTGGGACATCCCTCACCAGTCCTGGCTCTACAACTCCAACTACTCCTGTGAGCTGTCCATGGTGCTGACAGGTGCTGCCTTCTTCCACAAGGTGAGACAAGCTGGTTACAGTGGCATGCTCTTAGTAGCTGTTGAGTCTTTTGTAGTGAAATGCTGTCTTTACATCAGCTCTCCTCCTGCTTCTTCTGTGTCTCTTCTGTGGTAGAGATAGGTCATTCCTGTTTTTAAAGACTCCAGTTATGCTTAGTGAAACTGTGGAGTAAAAAGTTAAGATGAAGGCTGCCTGTGTGGTTGCGTGAGGCTGTGACGGCCAGTTTCCCTGCAGGGTTTGGCCCTCCTCTGTATTAATGGAAGGCACTGGGCCAGAGGGGCTGTCAGACCTTCCAGCGTCAGCATCGCCGTCCCACCCAGGCCCAGCATCAGCAGGCTAAACCTGGTGCTCTTCTGACTCAGAGTAACCACTACTGTCCCCAGCCCACTGTGAATCTCTGTGGGGGCCCTGCCAATTCTGCCTGAGTCCTCAGCTTGTCACTTTCTCCACTCATATCCCAGTTTTCACTGAACACCCAAAGTGGGAGCCCTTCAGTCACTGTACCTCCCCCGTATTATTAGCGCTGTATTGTGCTGGCTTTGCTCCTGACTCATCTTCCTTCTGTTCCTCTTCTATAAAGTAGTCACTGGCCTCTTGTGGCCACATATGGCTACTGAACATTTGAGAAGTGACTGGTCAGAGTTGAGATGTGCTCTCAGAGTCAAGTACACACCAGGTCTGAATGTAAATACTTAATGTATGAAGTTCATTCCTAAAGTTTGCCCTGGTGTTTCCAAACTCTGGTGGATCTGGACAAGATTGCAAGTGTGGTGAGAGGGGTAGAGTGTTGGACAGCAGGTGGTCAAGAAACCACCTCTAACGAGTGCTCATCTCAGGAGCCACTGCTTAGTGTGTGCTCATTCATACCTTGAGAATTTATTTGTCTGCTGATAAATCTGCCTTCTCAGACTGATTGCTTTTTAAAAGTAATGGTCATATCCCTTTATTTTAAACAAATAAATAGTTTTCTGAATGAAGCTTACTGTTTTTTCTATTTGAAAATCTAGAGCAAAATTTACAAACTCATAACCATGGAACTCCACTTGGCTCACAGAAATGCTTTTGCTCCCCCAGTGTTACCCACTTTCACCTTTTAAAAATCAGAATATTTTGTAAAAAAAATCTGGATTGTGATAAAAATGGAGGCCAACATATTACCAAAAGCAATATGCAGATTTAATGCAATCCCCATCAAGATACCAATGACATTTTTTCATAGACCTAGAAAAAAGTCTTAAATTTGAAAGAATAAAAGACCCAGAATAGTCAAAGCAATTCTAAGCCAAAAAAGCAGTGCTGATGGCACACAATACCTGACTTCAAATTCGACTACAGAGTTACAGCAACAAAAACTGTGTGGTCCTGGCATAAAACAGACATAGACCAAAGGTACAGACTACAAGACATGGGGACGAACCACACAAACATGGTCATGTGATCCTTGACAAAGGTGCCAGAAACACGCACTGAAGAAAAGATACCCTTTTTAACAAATGTGCTGGGTCAACTGGTTATCCACATGCAGAAGGAGGGGACTAGACCCTTATCCCTCAGCCTGCACAAAAATCAACTCCAAATGCATCAAAGCCTTGGATTAGACCAGAAACTATGCAACACCTAGAAGAAAATGTAGGGTTAACACTTCAGCATGTAGCAATGACTTTCTCAATAGGACCCCTAGGGCTCAGGAAATAATGCCAAGAGTTAATAAATGGATGGCATCAAATTAAAAAGCTTCTGCACAGCAAAGGAGACGATTAGGAATGTGAAGAGAACCTACAGAATGGGAGAAAGTCATCACTAGCTCCTCTTCAGTCAGAGGATTAATAGCTAGAATAAATAAAGAACTCAAATAACCCAATTAATAGATGGGCAAATAAATTAAACAATTCAAAAGAAGAAATACAAATGGATAACAAATATAGGAAAAAATGTTCAACATCATTAGCAATTAGGCAGATGCAAATTTCCCTACACTGAGATTTTTGTCTTACACCAGTCAGAATGGCAGCCAACAAGATCACAAATAATAAATGCTGGAGAGAATGTGGAGAAAAAAGGAACACTTTATACTTTTGGTGGGATTGTAAATTAGTACGACCACTATGGAAATCGGTATGGAGGTTCCTCAAAAGACCAGGCGTGGAACCATATACCTAGCTATACTGCTTCTTGGTAATTATCCTGAAAAATTAAAGTCATCACACTACAGTAATAAATCCATACCCATGTTTATAGCAGCACAATTCACAACAGCCAAACTATGGAGCCAGTCTAGGTGTCCATCAGTGGATGAATGGACAAAGAAAATGTGGTATGTATACCCAATGGAGTTTTATTCAGCCATAAAGAAGAATGAAATTGTGGCACTTTCCAAGAAAATGTCTGAAACTAGAGACCATTATATTAAGCGAAGTAAATCAAACTTGGGTCAAGGGAAGTGTTTCTCTCATATGTGGAAGCTAAAGAGAAAGAAGGAAGATAAAGGCAGATTTGTCATGGAAATCAAAGGGAAGCAATAGAGGGAAAGGACTAGGGGGTGGAAGCGAAGTGCTGGGGAATGATATTGTCCGAACTGTATTGCTACAATGTGTACGTGTATGCATATATAACCATATATAACGAGTCCGTTGTTACGCACAACCATAATGCACCAATAAAAAAAATAAAAAGAATGGGGGGAAAAAGGGCCCTAAATGTAAACTGTGGACTTTGGGTGATTATGATGTGTCGGCGTAGGGTTACTGATCATAACAAATGTGTCACTCTGGCGGGGGATGGAAATGGAGAGGGCAGGGAATATGTGGAAAATCTCTGTACTTTGTTCACAATTTTGTGGTGAACCTAAAACTGCTCTAAAAAAATAAAGTCTCATAAAAAAAAAGAGGCACTTGTTATATTTACCTTCAAACATCAAATTGTAAATGTCAAAAAATAATCCTTAGGTTTCTTAGGTTTCCAGTGATGAGTTTTTCCTCCCTTTAAATTTTATTTTGAGACAGGGTCTCATTAAGTTTCCAATGAAATGGCATTGCTTAGAGTGTTTCTTATGAGATAATAAACTTGCTGCCTGTTACCTGAAGTTAACATTCTTTCAGCCCTCAAAAGTTGACATTTTTGATAATCATTTTCTATTTTGTCATGTCCCCTACACGTTCTTTATCTAACAAGAAAATTGTGCTGAATGAAACAGTTGATCTGTGAGGGCATTTAAAAAAAAAAAGGAGGCCAGGCCCTCAGTGTTCCTGCTTCACAGCAGTTGGCTGGAGCTTTGTGACCACAGCTCCCTGTGGATGGGTCTTACATGCATGAACCTGACCTGCCATTTCCACTCTTCGTAAGTGACATTTTAAAGAAATGCATTTATGTAGCTGAGTGTGGTGGCACTGCTTTTAATCCCAGCTTCTTGGGAGGCTGAGGCAGGGTGAATTGCAAGTTTGAGACCAGTCTGGACAACTTAATGAGACCCTGTCTCAAAATAAAATTTAAAGAAAAGTGAGGAAAAACTCATCAAAGGACTTTGGATGTAGTTCAGGCCTAGCATGAGTGAGTCCCTGGATTTGGCCTCCAGTAGTACAGAAACAAAAATCCAAAACCAAAAGTCGCCCGCTTGCCTTTGCCCTTGAAAGGAAGTAAATTGGTCATTCCAAATGTACCACAGTCAAGTTTTTTGATCATAAATGCCTAATAAAGATTTTGAACATGTAGCTAACGTTTGTTTGTTTTTTGGTACTGGGGGTTTAACTCAGGGGCACTTTACCACTGATCTTCGTACCCAGCCCTTTGAAGGTGAGCCAGGTTCTCACCTAGTGCTCAGGCTGACTCCTGCCCCAGTTTTCCAGGGATCTGGATTACAGGAGCATGCCATGGTGCCTGGCTCCCTGAGGTGATTTAAAGACTGGCTATCCTCTGAGTGGGAAGGGAAGCAGTTGGAGGGTGTGGAGTAAAGGCAGGATAGGTTTGGAGTTGGACTTCTGTGTAAACACCCACCATGTGCTGTGCGGGAAATAGCATGCAGGGAAGAGACACTGCAGCAGGGAGACCCTGGGTATGCCAGGCAGGAGGTGGTGATAGCTGGGAGCAGAGAGCAGCTGGTGGCCATGGTGAGGAGGAATCTGAGGCCAGAGAGACTGAATGTCTCATGGTTCTGTGATTTCTAGAGAACTGAGAAGATAACCAGTCTTTCTCCCCTCATTATTTCTTATCACCACTGTCATAGGTAGAATATTGTTCAACTGAACCAGTGTCTGGATAGGTTTTACAAAGCATTGTTATTGATTCCAACATTGCTGAAATACCAATGAAATCACATGATGGAGTTCGGTTTCTCAAAAGGGGGAACAACAGTAGTTTGAATGGGGTGATCCTTTACTGCAGATTTGTGTTGAAAGGTAGTTAGCAGCCCTGGCCCAACTCCCCAGGTGCCAGTAGTGCTTCCCAGTTATTGCCACATCCCAAACACCTCCACACACTTTCAGCCAGCCCTTAGATCCATGCGTAGTTTTGCTGAAAGCCAAAGAACTGTGTCCTCTAACAGAGTATGTGATTCCCTTTTTTCTCCTGACAGTATTATGCCTACCTGTATTCTTATGTGATGCCCCAGGCCATCCGAGATATGGTGGACGAATACATCAACTGTGAGGACATTGCCATGAACTTCCTTGTTTCCCACATCACTCGGAAGCCCCCCATCAAGGTGAGGCCCCACTACCTTTGGGACTGTGCATGCACACAAACTTAATTCATTTGTTTGGCTACACTGCAGTCCATAAGGGTGTCGAGCCTGAGTCCCCTTGTAAAGTGGGTGATGACCACTTGACTGCAGGATTAGAGTTGATACTACAGGGCTCTTTACTCCTGAGGTCGATGGATACTCCGAGGGCTTGGAACTTGGTGGAAAGGATGTTGCGGGTTTATTTTCACTCATCTATAATTGAAATTTAGTATTTCCTTCAGTTATAAAGTAGGCAATGATTCCTAAGGATAGTGTGTGTGTGTATGCTATAACTGATCTGTGACCAGAAGAAATCACATATTTTCATATCAGATTTGCTGCAATTTCTTAAATTAGGCTTTCAGACCATCACTGCTTTGAATTTGTGGTAGTTATTAACTTTTCCCTACATTTGGTTATTTAAGGTGTTAACAAAACAGCTATGTACATTACTGTATTTCAATATGATTTGTTTCTTTTGTAATCCCATGTAGTTTATTTTTTGCATTTAAAATCATTCAGGAGTCCATAGGCTTTACCAAGTTGCCAAATAGGGGGGTGGGGAGATGTGGGGTGGGTGTCCATTAAACAAGAAACCGAGGAGTTATGCGTTAACACACGGAAACCTCTAAGAAGTGTATGGCACATAAGTAGGTACTATATAAGTTATTTGCTCAAAAGCAGTAAACTCCGAATTCTGGAAATTTGCATTCTGATTTTTGTTCTGGAATTGCTGATCAGGCTTGGACTAGATAAGCCAACTTCACATTCAGCACACAGAAAACTTGGTTCCATCCCTTTTCCCATCACTGCAGGCTGAGGCAACAAAGCACCCCAGTAAGGGTTAGGACACAGGTTTCCTTCGTGGGTGTTGTGCTGTGAGTAAATGATATCGTGTGCATATTTCATTCTTGCATTTCAAAGGTAATTTCTAGATTAAGTATCTGCCAGCATGTTCTAATAACTTAAATCGTATATTTAGGGGTAAACAGTGTGGTAACTAGAGGACATTCATTCAGTACAACAAAGTATAACAAAGATGGAGAGAAATGCATTTGGGAGCCTCATGCATCCAGTTTCACTAAGCAAATCTTTTTTTTTTTTTTTTCCTAATCTTGTTTATTTTTATGTGGTGCTGAGGAGCAAACCTAGTGCCTCACATATGCAATGCAAGCCCTCTATCACAGAGCTACAGCCCCAGCCCCACTAAGCAAATCTTTTGCCATGTATTTCCCATGGTTATTCCTTAACTTCTGATTACCTTGTAGTTTTTTCTGTTGCTGAGACTTGTGGTAAAGCCTCACAAAAGAACACTTAGTAAACTCATGTATCAAATAATTGATTTAAAAAAAAAATCTGAATCATGATCACAGCTATACAAATAAAAGCAACACATTTTCTAAGTATAGTGGCAGATCCAGTATTAAACAGTGAAAAGCATACTTCTTTATAATCTTTAAGGTAGAGAGGCAGAGGTCTTAAAGAAATTAACGACTGGGGAAAATTTCCTATTCTTCACTTGTTCCTTTCTTCAGTGGCTGGACTTCAGTCAAGATGTACGCTTCTATTCCTGCCTCTGTAGGACATCAGATGGCATTATCCTTGAAATTTCGGAAATATCTGAGTGATTAGGTATGAAACTGTAACGGCAATCACCTGAGCACTGGCAGACATGTTTGTCTACTATGTTATTAGGCCAGTGTTTCCTTAGCTAAGCCATTTTTTTTTTTTTAAGATAGAGGAGGGAGAGAGAGAAAATTTTTAATATTTATTTTAGTTTTCGGCGGACACAACATCTTTGTTTGTATGTGGTGCTGAGGATCGCACCCGGGCCGCACGCATGCCAGGCGAGCGTGCTACTGCTTGAGCCACATCCTCAGCCCTAGCTAAGCCATCTTTTTGGTGTAGAGTGAGAGAAATAATTGGGCATGGTATACATAACACTCTGTGTGTGTCTGTGTCTGTGTGTTTGTGTCTGGTGCTTGACCCCAGGCCCTTACACATGATTGGTAAACACAAAGCTACATTTTCAACCTTTTATGTTGAGACAGGGTTTTACTAAGTTGCCCAGGCGGGCCTTGAGCTTGTGATCATCTTGCCTCAGCCTCCTGAGTAGCTGGGATTACAGGTGTGTGCCATTGCACCTAGCTGGATGCAACTCTTACCAAGTGAAAACTTCAAAAAAAAAAAAAATAATAATCTTGGTGAATTTTGTCAATCATACTGAAATATAAGAACAATTCTAGATTGATACTACTTTTCTCTGGGTGGGGGGTGGGGATTGAACTCAGGGGCACTTAATCACTGAGCCCCCCCCCCCCCTTTTTTGTATTTTATTTAGAGACAGGATCTCACTGAGTTGCTTAGCACCTCACTAAATTGATGAGATTGGCAATTTAGTGATTTCCCCTTCTCTTTTCATCGTATTTTCACTGTCGTAATGTTCTTTTCCTTGTTTGAAATAGGATGATCAGCTGCTTCCTTGTTTGAGTTAGGTTTGACTGATTTAGCAGTGTTCTTTCAATAATGTTCAGTGTCTTAACAATATTGACTTAAAAAAAAGGAATTAATATATTACTTGGAATAATCTATTATTTTTGCAAGGAGGGGAAAGATCTAGTATGGAGATATGCTTCCTTAGGAATAAAGGATTAAAATCTTAGAAACCACTGAGAATAAGGGGAAGCTTCAGTGTGAAGGACTAGAGGGGAGGCCAGGGGAGCTTCAGCCCCTTCTCTGTTCTCGGTGGTCCTAGTTTTCAGCATCTACTAAGGATTTTCCTTACCATTACTGAGTACAGCAAGAACATTTCCACAGGACTGAATATAAATGTTCAAACTTGGGTTTATATTAATTTCCTATACATATATGTGTGTGCATATATGACATATATGTGTGTATGTATCCAAAAATATATTGGGGATACAGTGTCAGTGTTTTTACTGATGGGTTACATGATTTAAGACAGGTAGAAACTACTGCATCAGTAAAAACAGCAGTTAAAAACTTAAAAAAAAAGATTTTAATATTTATTTTTTAGTTATAGTTGGACACAATACCTTGAACCCAGGGCCTTGCATGTGCTAGGCAAGAGCCCTACTGCTGAGCCACAACCCCAGCCCCCCAGCAGTTATAAAATCTTGTTGTTGAATGGAGTGATTTTCAGGTTAGAGGACTTCCTCCAAGGTTGGATTCTGGTGTCTGGGATGAGGAGGAACAGTTCAGGTTCAGTGAGGGCAGAGTGGAATGTTGGCCAGATATTCTCTGATATGTGGATGCTAACCCACAACAAGGGAGGGTGGGGAGGGGAAGAGTAGAAGTCCAATGGATTAGACAAATGGAAATGAAGTGTGTGTGTGTTGGGGGGGGGGGCGCGGAATAGGAAGGACAGTAGAATTGGGATTGTGTGCCATGAAAATTTACATTTGTTTCTTCCTGTGCCTGGGGTCACTGCCTATTAGAAACCTGTCTAAACTATATTAGCATATTGAGGCTTTGCAGGACACACAAGTAGCATAAATTCTAGCCTCAGCTCTGTGTGTGACATTCTTGAGGTGACTTTCCCTTCACCATCTTCTGCTCCTCTGATCCTCCCTGTGTATTTATGATATGTGATCTCCCACCTTTCTTTTCCTTTTTTTTTTTTTTTCTAGCTTCCACATGTAAGGAGAAAACATTTGATCTTTGATTTTTCTGAGTCTGTCTTATTTCATGAGCATGATGTTTTCCAGTTCCATAAATGGACATATAGTATTTTATAATCATTTAACTACTTCCCATTTGTTGGGTACTTTTCCAGTATTTTGCTATTAAAAACATGAAATGAACAACATTTTACTAACATCTTGCTATGCAACCAAGATAAATACTGGAAGTAGAATTACCGAGGCAAATAACACTAAATGTTGTAATGTCTTTGATATCTGTTAAGCTCAGGTCATTTGGAAAGTATGCCTTACTAATGTTTTAAATATGCACATGGTGGGAAAGAGCCCTGAGCTCATGTCCTGGCTTCCGACTTTTTCTGTGTGAGTGGGGCCATTGGTTCTGCGTGTCACTGGAAATGGCGTTGTGTTGGCAAAGCTGCCAGGTTCCTATCAACCTGAGCATTATGATTCTTACGCTGTGTTCTTTCTTCCCTGCTCCCAGGTGACATCACGATGGACTTTCCGATGCCCAGGATGCCCTCAGGCCCTGTCACATGATGATTCCCACTTTCATGAGCGCCACAAGTGTATCAACTTCTTTGTCAAGGTGTATGGTTACATGCCCCTCCTATATACTCAGTTCAGGGTGGACTCTGTGCTGTTCAAGACCCGCCTGCCCCATGACAAGACCAAGTGCTTCAAGTTCATCTAGGGGCATTGCAGGTTTTGGGGAGAGGAAGGGCAGAGTGAGGGAGATGGCTCCCAAGGTTCCCAAGGTGTTAAGGACCTTGGGGACATCCACTGGGTGGGTGGCCCAGACCCTCTGCTGGGAGAGGCAGCAGGAAGAGTGGAAAGGAAATAGCTGCCTTTTTCTTGAAGTCGGCCACACTGGGCCTGGAATCCTGGTCATCAGACCTGGGGTTTCCACACAGGGCACTGACTGATAGCGCACACTGAGGACCATGGGGACTCTGGAGAGTCACTCACTAGTTCAAAAGCCCAGGACAGCTGGTTTGTGGTTTTTAAATTCAATAACAACTATTATTATTATTTAAAAAGAGAAAGTTTCAGATCTGCCATTCAAGGCTTATTTATATATGTGTGCATATATACACGTATATGTGTATGTACATATGTATGCACACACATACATATACATATATATATATATATATATATATATATATTTGGTGGGAGGAGTCTGAAATTTTTGCCCCTCTCTCTGTGGGAGGGTCCTACCAGACTCCTTGTGTTCTGCAGTTTGGAGGACATGGATTCTGGCCTTGTTACCTGGCTTATCCTTTACCTCTCCCATGCCCCAAGGACATCTGAGTGCAGAAAAAAGAAAGGGATGGACTTGGCCTTCTTACCAGGCCTTGGACAAGACTGGATCTGTGGTCTGTTCCTGACCCTTTCTTTTGCCAGCTGTTGATCTGTAATCAGCTTCTCCTCCTGTTCCTCCTCCAGGGAGCTTGGGGATGATCTGCACCATGGAGAGAACAGCTAAGTGGGGAGCGACCTGCTGGGTCTAGTGGTTGAGGATTTGTCATTAGGCCAGAGCTTGTCCCAGGACTTACCCCTGCTCTCTCATTCTCTCCCTTATTTGAGAGAGAGGAATAAAGCAGTAGAGAATGAGGCAGGAGTAAGGCCCGCACTGCCAAATGGCTCTGGTTGGCTGGCCCTCCTGGGAACAGCATGTGCCTCTGGAGTGGGGCTTCCTTCAGATGTTCTCTTGGATGAGATGCAGGAAAGCTGCAGGCTGCACCTGAAGATGTGGTTGTGGTCTGTGGGCCTGTTAGCTCTGGCATACAACAAGCACGTGACCTTTGAGGATCCCACCCGGCTGGCCGGGAAGAAGACTTGCAGCAAGGCACTTGGCCTTGGGATAAATACCTTGGTGAAATTCACCTTCCCCCACCTCTGTCTGGACCTCCACCTGTCACCTGTGGTTTTTGGACCCCTAATGCTAGGTTGTCTGTAGGACCCCCTGAGGTTTGGTGTGTGCTAGGACAGTGGGAGGCTGTGATGTGCTAGGGCAGTTCAAATCCAGCCTTGGACTTTAACAGGCGTTCACACTTTGTTACGTTTCCACTACCAGTTTAATTTCTGTTCCCTGGGCTGAAAGTGAAATAAGCTAATTTTGGTCACAGTGGCAGTGGGGGAACTCAGGAGGGTGTTGGTGTCGTTTGTTGGGGATTTAGCCCATAACCACTGTTTTTTTCTGAGCCCCACTTCTGGAAGTGGAGTTGAGCACAGGTTCCCAGCAGTCAAACAAAAGCTCAGGTCTGTCCTGGTCATCACATGCCTTAAGCCAGTTCCGTCTTCCCTAGACCTTGACATCCTGTGCTTCTATTTCTTGGGGTACATTCTCCTCTGGCCTGTGTGGACCAAATGGGTTCTCCACTGTTTTAAAGCCAGTCTCTTTCCTGTAGATTCCACTCAGCTCCAGAGCTGGCTTGGCCCAAGGGAGCTCTCCTCATCGGCCAGCAGGCCCTAGGTCTCCCAGGCTGGCATCGCCACACCTTCCCACTGGTATCTTGTGGCTCCTGCCAAGGCAGCTACCTGGGGAATTTGGTTATGCTTCTCAGCAACCAGCAAAGGGGTCCAGACCCCTTTACCCTACTTTCTAACTGCCCTTTCCTTGACTTCTGGACAATTAATTTTAGTAGTAACCTTCTTCTGTCAGGGGAGCCAAAGAGTGTGGTGTTTTGAGCTATATATGTGGCTGCTATTTCGTTTCTTTTAATGTGAGGATGCAGTGGGAGACATGGGGAAGAGCTGTCTGTGTGGCAGGACCCCACCCCCTTCAGTGGGGGCAGATCCATGGGTCCCTCCATGTGGTTCATTCATGGATACCATCAAAATGTGCTGTAGGGAGGCTGTGATGTTGGAGGGTCAAACAGGGATAGCACTGTTGGGACTGACAGGACACTGACTTGAAGGACCCCTGGTCGACACTGACCTGTGCCTGCACTGTCCTCAGCAGTGACGGGCAAAGCAGTTGGACATGCATATTTCTTAGGAAGGTGCTCCTGGGAATGCCTGCTGTCTGCAAGATGGGATTGGGAGAGTCCCTGGGCCCTACCTTTGATGCTGCTTACTGTGGGACACCGGATAGTGGGGACTCTGCCACAGGGAAGCAGCCCTCCTTGGCTGTGTTCTGGAGGACTTGTTCCTTGGCCTCAGCTCTCGATGAGACAGCTTTGCTTCCAGCTAGCCAGCTTGCTCTTCACGTTGAGGGCAAGGACTGCCCAGCTTGGTGATAGCCTCCTAGGTGCTCACAGGCCTTGCGCATTTGTCCCCAGCAGTGCTTCTGTTTGGTGGGGGCTGCGCCTCATACAGGACTCAACGGGTCCTGTCCAGGAAGAGGAGCTGGATGGCTGGGAGCCATCTGTCCAGGAGCTGCCTGGGTGTGCCCAGGGAGCACCTCGTTCCAGATGCTGCTTTGAAGGGGGCTCTTTGGTATCATGCCGTGTGCATCCATCCACCCCTTTTCCAACCATGAGCACAATGGTCTTACGTTTTTTGTAAAAAAACAAAACAAAAAACAAAAACAAAAATAAATGGAGACTTTAACTCAAGCAGCTTGGAAGTCTTTTTGTGATTTTCCTCAGCAGGGACAGAAGAGTGAACCAAGGTGCTGGCCTGATTCCAGGTGGTCACCAGTGCATGGTCAGCCGGCAGCAGTCCCAAGTCAGGCTGTGGGCTGTGTGACAGGTCTTGGAGCTGCTTGGAGCCTGGCTGAGGGGATGCCAAACGTGTATGAATGGGTCCAGGCAACCTTTCCAGCATCCATTTCTGGGATGAGTCGTTTTGACCAGACACACATTCAGGTGTCACTTATTTCAGGGGCTGTGGTGTACATTCAGACTTCATTTTCCTACAGGAATTTTAAAGAGCGTCAGTTTGGTATACTGTGCTGGGGAAGCTAAGTGTCCATGGCCCAGCAGAGGGGAGAGGGCTTGCTCTGTGGATCATGTGACTGACAGGAGTCACCTCTACCTAGACCTCTAGTTGCTGCTGCTTCAGTATCACAGCCTAGTCCTTTGGAGTCTACAACCCTAGAACTTCCATATGACTGTGGGTCAGAAGCATACCCTGAGTCATGGAGGAGAACGGAAGAGATGGGAGCTTGGGTTGCGACGCCATCTAAGAATGGTCAAAATCAAAGCTTGTTGAAGCAGGGCTGAGGTTGATCAGACTCATTTGCAGCAGGTGTGGGGTCAGTCTAGAGAATGGACCTGGGGCGGCTGCCACCCAAGGATCTCCTTGTTACCACCTGCCCAGCCCCAGAGGACTTGAGGAAGCACATGAGGCCCCAGGCAGTGTGTCTCACTGCACATGGAGAAAATGTGCTCACTTCTGGCTCCAGTCTACCCAGGTACCCCAAGGGGCTTCTGCCAACTGGTGATGTGCCTGTCACTCAAGTTGAAGGCTTATGTTTACAAAAATGCTATTAAGAAGGATAATGCTGTGATTGGGGGTATGGGCTCAGGAGTAGTGTACATGTGCTCAAATCCTGTGTTGCCTGTGACATTAGTGGAGAGCAATTCATCTATTTTAGGGCTTAACCAATAAGATGGCAAAAATTCTGCTTATCATATGGTATAAAGAAGTAAAGAGCCCGCTATGTGGCACACAGTGAAAACTAACTCTTTTCGGTAAAATCCTGCAAACTTCTTGGTGGCTCCTCTGCATCCCGTCTGTTTTGAGTGCCAGGGCTTCGTTCATTGTTTGTCCGAAGCACAGCCCTCAGGATGCCTCCTCAAAAGTGTCTGTTGTCCCTGTGTCTCCTGTCAGAGCCGCAGGCTGGCTGGCTATGGCTACTGCCTCCTGAATGGTGATAGGTTACCACTACCCTGGCATCGTGAGGAAGCTTCCTGGGAATACAGCCCCTAATAGGTGGTTTTCTGATGAATTAATTCTTTAAGGAACTGAAGAGGGTCCTACCAAAGTCACACCTGGCAGCAAGTTGAACAGTGCCTGAGTACTGCCAGGGCCAGGTAAAGGAAGCCTCAGACCCACTTATTATAAAAAAAAAATTGTTTTTGTTTTCCTGGTGCTGAGAAGCAAGCATGCTAGGCAAATGCTCTAACACTGAGCTAGCCCTCTGATCTCCTTGATGAAGGGAGTAAGATAGTGTGTCTAGATTTGAAGGCCTGGAGAGCATGAAAGTAGGATGGGAAGCCCTGCCAGGGCCAGGTTTGATTTGCTATTTAATTTCATCTGTTTTCTGATCTGTTTTAATTAGGCAAATTGTTATATCTTTCTATATTTGGCTTTATGTTTATGAAACTACAAATCCTGGTCAATAAATTGAAGGGCCATCAGCACAAAATTATTTAAATTTTATCTTAGGTATTAGTTCCAGGGCTGGGGTTGTAGCTCTGGAAAAGTGCTTGCCTAGCATGTGAGAAGCACTCGGATCCATCCTTAGCACCACATAAAAACAAATCAATAAATAAATGGCATTCTGTCCATCTACAGCTAAAAAATATTAAAACTATTGGCTCCAATATCTTATTATAAAAACATAAACCGTGTACCCACCTGTCGTCTGACTCCACTTGACTTATGGCAGTCCACCTCTCCATCCCCAGCCACTTATCTATCCTGGCTCATCCTTTCATCTGTCCTATTTTTGGTACATTGCCAAATAAGCTAGTGATATCAGTATACTTGCTTCTAAATACATAAGCACATACATCAATTGGAAGTTAATATGGTTTTTTGGGGATTTGTTTTTGTATTGGGATTGAACCCAGGGGCGCTTAGCCACTGAGCCACATCCCCCGTCCATTTTTTATTTAGAGACAGGGTCTTGCCGAGTTGCTTAGGGCCTTGCTAAGTTGCTGAAACTGGCCTTGAACTTGTGATCCTCCTGCCTCAACCTTCTGAGCTGCCGTTTCTGTTTTTAATGAAAAAATTGCACACTAAAATGCACAAATCCTAAGTGTGCATTCTCTTGAGTTTTGATGAACTTATACACTCTATAACCCAAACCCCTCTAAAGATATAGAACGTTGCTCAATCCAGAAATTTCCCTCATGCTCCTTCCCAGTCAGTCCCTACCCCCACCACCTGAAGACAAGTAATGCTCTTATTTGTTTCCATCTTGGATAGTTTTCCTTATCCTGGAATTCATGTAAATGGTATCATACAATTTTTATTTGTGTGAAGCTTCCAGGAACTTAGCAGTGTTTTCATGATCCATCCAGTGTTGCAGGTGTTAGTTCATCTGGTACTTTTTATTGCAGAGCAGTATTCCCTTGTAGGGATATAATAAAATCTTTCCATTTTATTGACAGATACTGGAGCTCTTTCCAGTTTTGGTCTTTATGAATAAAGTTGGTGTGAACACTCATGTACAAGGCCTTTCCTTTCTCTTGGATAAATACCTGAGTGGAACATTGGGCAATATGGTAGACTCAAATGTGTTTGGTTTCATAAGAAACTGCTAGACCTTTTTGCAAAGTGAATGTTTGATTTTGTACTACCAGCAATGAAGTGTTCCAGCTCCGCGTCCTCACTGCTGTGAGATGGTATCTCTTGGTCCTCTTGATTGATTTTAGCAGATCTGGAAAGTGAATGATGATTGTATCGTAAAGTTTCAATTTGCATTTCCTTGATGACCAGTGATGCTAAGCATTTATCATAGGCTTATATCATTTATGTATATTTCCTTTATGAAGTATTTGTATAATTTTTTTTCCGTGAAAAGATTGTTTAGTGACACATTTGTCATATAGTTGGCATCAGAGTCCACTGTTCATGTTGTATGTTTATTTTTTGACAAATGTATTACAACATGTTTCTACAATTACCATTCCATATGGAATGTCTCACTGCCTGAAAGGCCCTCGTTTTTTATGAGCCACCCGTTGACTCTCCCTACCCTCCAGTCCAAGTTTGCCTTTCCCAGAATGTCGCTGTTGGACTCCTCCTGCACACAGCCTTTTTATGTTGGCTTCTTCCACCTAATACTATACATCCAAGTTTCCTTAATTCCGTTGCATGATTTGATACTCATTTCTTTTTTTTAAATCACTGAATAACCTTCCTTCCTATGGATATATTGTCCTTGAGTTCTTGGTGGGTTTTTAAAAAATATTTATTTTTTAGTTATAGGTATAACTATAACACAATGTCTTTATTTACTTTATGTGGTGCTGAGGATCGAACCCAGTGCCTCACGCATGCTAGGGCTCTACCTAGTCACAGCCCCAGCCCTCAGGTGTTCTTTACCCTGGACAATTAGTCCATTCCCAGGTTCATCTTGTGTAACAAAGTATTTTTCCCAGCTTGTGGGAAATTTTTGATGAGATAATTTTTATCTCATCAAAAGAGATAAAATGAGGGATTTTTGATGAGATAATTTTAACTTTATTACTGCTTTCTGGGCCTTAAGAAACCTGTGCCTACCCTAAATTATGAATATGGTGTTATTATATATTTTTCTACTAGAAGTTTTTGGTGTTAGCTTTTATACTTTGATAAGTGGTAGCGATCAAGGTTCTAATTCTTTTTTTTTTTTTTTTAATAGATATCTTGGGCTGGGGTTGTGACTCAGTGGCAGAGCACTTGCCTAGAAGTGTTGGGTTAGATCCTTAGCACCACATGTAAAATGAGGGTGTTGTGTCCATTTACAAATATATATATATACATAAAATATGGGTAACTAATCATTCCAGCACCATTTGTTAAAAAGACTTTACTTTCTCCATGGGATTGATTTGGGGACTGTGCTGAGACAAAGTCATCACTGAACATTTCTGAGCTCTCCTGTTCCGCTGACTCCTTGTGCCAATACCGTTCCGTGTGCATTAGTAACTTTCTAGTTAGCCTTGAAATACAGTATGAGTCCTCCAACTTTGCTCCTCTTCTCCAAGATTGCTTTAAATATCAGTTACTTTTTTTTTAAAGAGAGAATTTTTTTTAAATTATTTTTTTAATATTATTATTTTTTTAGTTTTCGGTGGACACAACATCCTTATTTTTATTTTTATGTGGTGCAGAGGATCGAACCCAGCACCCCGCGCATGCCAAGCGAGCGCACTACTGCTTGAGCCACATCCCCAGCCCCAATTAATTTATTTTTATGTGGTGCTGCAGATCGAACCCAGGGCCTCGCCCATGCTAGACGAGCGCTCTACCACTGAGCTACAACCCCAGCCCCTTCTGTTGATTTTTGTTTCTATTTTCATTATGTTTCATTCAACTTTCTTTGGGTTCAGTTTGTTGTATAGTTTCTTAAAGTGAAAATTTAGGTCAGTTTTATGTCTTTTCTATGAACAATAAATTTCCTTTTAAGTACTATGTTAACAGTGTGATAAAAATTTTGAGCTGTTATTTTTATCATCACTCAGTTCAAAACATTTTCTAATTGATTTTGGATGTCTTCTTTGATTTATGAATTATTTTAGAATTATGTTTGATTTGCCATGTTCTGAAATATTTTATGAAGTTCTAATTGAGAGAACATTTTCTATATGATTTCAAACCTTTTAAATGTAGAGAGACTTGGCCTATCACCTAGGATATGACTTTCATAGTAAATATACCATATACACTTGCAAAAAAAAGGGGGTGAAGTTATGTAGCTATAGAGCATAGTATCTAAGAAATATCAATTAGGTTAAGGTTTTGGACAGTTTTGTTCAGGTCATCCATTAATTTACCAATTATTTTTGTCAGGTTATTTTAGTAATTACTACATTGGTGTAAGAATTTACCCCTTACCAGTACTGTTGATTTTCACTTCCCTTATTTTGGAGTTACTGAAACTAGTCAGGAATGCTGTCCCTGTCATCATCTCGGGCAGTGTTCTGTATCTTGAGGCTGTGCCAGCTGCTTTCACTTTCTTTTCACTTGGCTCTTCCTCTTTCTGTTTAATGTGCATTTCTTGCAGGTGGTATATAGTTGGTTCTTGTTTTCAACCTATACTTAGCAGGCTTGTTGCAGGGAGCAGCCAGAGATTGCTGCAGAATACAGAGTTCAGAGGTTCTGCTCTGAGTCTCTGACCTGGGATCTTCCCCTCATTATAGCAGCCAAGGCTGTCCTGAACTGCATCCTGTTATTCAGGCTGCTACAACCAGGTTTTCTGAACAAGTTTAGTTATCCTGCAGTGCTCTTTAGTCTACCCTGAAGATGTGAACTCACCTGCCATTTCTTCCTCTTTAAGAATCCTTCAGTTGGGCTGGGATTTTCCTTTACTTGCTAATGAGTCTAGTTCTATGTGTATGTGTGTGATTATTATTCATTCTATCTGGTATTGTTACTGTTTGATCTAATCTGCCTGCTTGCAGCATCTGGATTTATAATTTTATATGTGGGAGGGTCAGGTCTGATGGGGGCTATTTATTACATGTGCATTCTGTTATTTACTTTTGTACACATTGAAAAAGAATTGATAGTAAATATTTTAGACTTTGTGGGCCACATCAGATTTGCTATGCAACATCATTTTTATTTCTGTAGTTTAAGGGGGCTGGATTTAGCTTGCAGGATGCAGTTACCATCTGTCTCATCAGTAAGCCCTCCACTGAGCACTTGCCTAGCAATGTGAGGCACTGGGTTAGATTAATATTTTAGAGCATAGTTTGAATGACAGTGATTTCAATGACAGGAATTTTTCCATGTATGTTTGGGTTCTCAAGTTTACAAATTATAGTTAAAGGAAAACAACAACAAAAAACCTGACCACCAAGAAAGGCATATTAGGAGTGTAATTCTTACACATTTCTAAGATTTTCTTCCCTTCTTTCCCAAGCCTCATGTTGAGACAAACAGAAAATACAGACTGTCCCCAAAGCACTTATGGTCCTGGAAATTTGTTCCTCTGTACTTGTGAGTTGTTCAGGGAAAACTCTCATTTTGTCTTGTTATTACAGTGAGCTAAAATTATTGGAGAGAGCATAATGCACAAAATGTAGTAGTAGGTGCTTAATAAATGCTCACCAATTGGAAGGTGCTTATTGACTGGCAAAAATGCTGTATAAAATAAAAGTGAGCACTGTAATTAGCTACCAGACTAAATAATATTGAATAAAATATGCTAGCCAACTTATTTTAGGTGATATGTTTATTAACTCGGAATCACTTTTGTGAACGATTTTACAGTTGTACATCTGGAAGATATAAATGGTTAGGAATTATTTCTGTGGTTTACTGTACAGGAGAGTACAGGGTAAAACCCTGCTAACATAAGAATCATTATGTCTCCATTTTTTTCAGGGACCTCCAATACCAACGTAAGAAACAAGCAATAGTCTCTGTGCTTAATGACAAGATGTGGGTAAAACATTTTTCAAAGATTTCCTGTGACTCAAAATATACACACACACTTATAAATAATATTTTATGATGTGATTAAAACCTGTAATGGGCTGCCTGGGAGTAGTGGAGACTAGCAGTTAACCTTTTGTAAAAAAAGTTCATGATCAATGCTGGCTCTAGCCCACAGCAAGAATAGATCTCTTTGGCTCAGCTGTATACTGCCTATCTTCAGGACTTAGTTGTGACTTCCTGCAGTATTGTAGGCTCAAAGTAGAGGAATGTTACTTGTGTATAGTTCCACTGGAGAGAATCTGGAAACAGGTAGTGTGAAACAATGAAGTCAGTGTTCACTTCTCCTGGCTGTAGAGGAAAGAGGCAAACAGCATCTCCCTGTCCCTCCTACCAGTTTGCTTGGCTCATCTTATGACACCATCATATAGCTTTGGTGGTTTCTGCAGAAAACTCCAAACTCCTGCCTTTATAGGTTACCTCACGAGGCCAAAAGGTATAAGCTCTAGGATCAGGAGACAAGGAGGCCCCATCTCCTCCTCCTGGCCAGCTCCTCAATCCTGACACAAGATATGGAAGGCAGAAGCTACTTAAACTGTTTTCCATCCAACACCTGACTGACCATTAACAGGGATGCCTCTGAGTCAGAAGATCTCAGCTGAGCCACACCAGATTCCTGACCCACAGAAATGGTAAGCGAAGAAATGCTTTTTTTTTTTAAGTGTAGATGAACACAGTACCTTTATTTATTTTTATGTGGTGCTGAGGATTGAACCCAGTGCCTCACACATGCTAGGCAAGTGCTCTACCACTGAGCTACAGCCCCAGCCCCAAGAGATGCTTGTTTTAAGCCACTAAGTTTTGGCGTAATTTTTAATGCAAAAATAAATAGCCGCTATACCACTTTGTGGAAAGACATGTTAAAAGAAAAATTTTAGACAAAATAAATTTAGTAGTTTATTCCAGCAAAGATTCATGAATCCAGTCGTGCTTAGAAGCAAGAGAGATTCCAGGTGCTCCCCTGTAGCATCATGGGCAGTGAGCTTTTATGAGTCCAAAAGACAAGAAAACATTTGAATAGTTCAGAGTGGAAAGGCCCTAATCCAGGTGAGCTGGTGGTGTCATTCTCCTGTTCCACTTGTGAAGGAACGTGAAGTGTTCTCTCACCCCTGTTACTACTTTGTAAAAATAGACATAAATAACAAAATTACGTCACTCCACTCTTTATTATGAATTAACACTTAATCACTATTACACTGGCTTTTTTGGGGGGGTGTGGTGGTGGTAGGTGCT